TAGGCTGGATCATTCGGCTAAGAAGAAAAGGAAAAAGGGAATAAATGCAAAGGATGAGTGAGAGAAGATTCAAGAAAAGATCTAGAGAATTATAACATGGCTAAGGAATTGAATTGCAATTCATTCCCTTGTATACATATTCGACTAGATAGAGGAGAGAAAAGAATGATGAACAATCAAGGTTATGAGGAAACTAAGGTCGAATTAGAGAAAAAATAAAAGAAATTAAGCTAATCCTATCCAAATTTCACCCAAAATTAACACTTACAAAACCCTATTGAAAGACTTTAGGAAGCAAGTACAAAGAGAGGGAGGAAAAGAAGCTTTGGCCAAAACCAAGAGGAAGAAGGAGGAGAGGTTTTGCAAAGATTAAGCAAAACTAATCAGCAAGGATAATTAGATAAGTATAATCTCACTTACACTACCAAGTGGTTTAATGCTTTGCATGATTAATTATTGTTTTATTGTGAATTGAAAAAGTAAGGGTTTATGTTTGAATCATGTGATAGTTTACGATTTGAGTAATTGATGTACATTTATATGATTGGTGATTTGATTATCATGATTGGGTGTTTAAATGGGAGAAAGAGGAATTTAAGGAATGAGTTCATTGGGATGAACCATTCGACCAAGACTAGAAAGAATGGGAGAAAATTACGTTGTAGGAAATTGATGTAATCGAAGTGTTTGATTAAATATGCAAACCACATTTTGGCATAAAACTAAAGAGGAAATTGGTGGAATTGAATGGCTAGTTAAGGTTGATAAATTCATCCGTCATGGAATTTAGAGTGAAATGGTTATGTTTATGCAATAAGGATTAAATAGTATTTAAGTGAGATTAAATGAGGATGATTTAGGGATTAATATGAAGAAATCAACTTGGTTTTTTGGTTTAGGCCATTCGACCAAGATCCAAATATATGGGATTGTTGAATTGGATAGTTAAGCCATAGAATTTAGTAACTTTGACCTTGGTTAGTTGAAGTTAAATGCATTAAAATGAAGAACTAGAATGAATTAACTTAGGAAGTAGATTCTACCATTAACCCTAATTAACCTAAAGAGTAAGTTAAATGAATTTTATGAAAGATTAGGCTTGGATCCGGCAAGATAACATGTATAGAATGAATGAATGAGGAAAATTTCTCTTGGTTGAATGGATGAAACATTCGGCCAAGATGTGAAATTTTGAATTGTTTGTCTAATGCTTCATGTTGTGATGGATTATCATGAATATGTATGTTTATGGATAAATGAATATGAAATGACTTGAAAATGATCTGTGTATATTATGTGAATTGGTGTGGCCATATTTGGCTAAGAAAGACTTTCCTAAGGTTAATGTTTGTATGAGATTTTGTGATGGATTCTTGTTTTTTTTTTTTTTTAATTACCTATTTGTACATGTTAATGGTTGTTTGTTTGATTCATTAGCATGTACCATACCGACAAAGAATTCATGATATGGAAAAGATTAAGGTAAGTCATGTTTTGTTACATGCATTTCATGACATTTCATGAAGGTTTTACTTTCATGATTTTTCAAAGGAAAAAGGAAAAAGAAATGCATGTTTTTAAAAGAAAATGGCCAAGTACCTCTACATGAATACAAAAGGAATGATCACCCTCTTGTATGGTAAAGGAAAAAGGAAATGCAAATGAAAATAGAAATGGAAATGGAGAGGTACTTAGGTGTTTTTGTGATGTTTTCACAATCGATAAGGTGCTCTCAAAGTTAGAAAATGAATTTCAAAAGCACTAAAGGATTTTTAAATTGCATCACATACATATCATGCATACATTACACTTACTAAGCATAGCTCTTTTTTTTTTTTTTTAATTATGGTGTAGGAGAAAAGAACATAAACGATGGCACGTTTTGGTGTGACGATTGTTACTAAAGAGCAACCGAATTGTCGAAGGGTGTACTTTAATTTTCGCTCTAAATTGGAGAGTTTTAACTTCTTATTTTTTTTCATATTTTGAAAACCTAGTATGTGTGATTGGTTTTATCATTTTGGTGTGTAGGCTAATTATGCCCTAAAATACTTCAAATAATATATATAGTTAATAGTAAAGAATTAGGAAATGTGGTTTAATTAAATTAAATGAACTATAATTAGTAATTGGAGTTAATGACATGATCACATATTTGGTTAGATAGATGATGGACAAGATTAATTAAGAAATTGGAAGTTAAGAAAATAATCAATTAAACGGAAGGAATTTAGATTAAATGAGATAGGGGAAAATATTAAATGGACATTATAAGTTTAATTGTAAGTTTCCTATATTAATAGAAATCAATGTTCCTACATTTATTTGGAATCAATGTTCCATAACCCAAAAAGATTTTACTCCCTTAGTTAAATAGTTTGAATAGATTAATTGAATTAATTGGAAGCAAATTTTTATTGGTTTGACTAAATTCTCAATCCATATGGTTTTATTCAAATTAAAGATTTCTACTTAAAATTTATTCCCAAAGTTGATTATTTCCCTAATAAATCGAATTTTGAAGAAAATAATGGAAACTTATTATTTCAAATTAATTAGATTAATTTTCCCTATTATTTCGGATTTATGGAAAAATGATAAGGATTTATGTTTTAAGCAAATGTTTAATTTAAGGACTTTTTATTAAAGAAATGAACCAAGTTTAATGTTTTATTATATTAATAATGTTTTCTAATCAAAATGAATTTTATCATATGGTTTTGAATTTATTTCCATATAATTAATTTAACTAGTTTTATGCCGCATTTAAATGTTTTAAATAAAATCTAAATTTTTAAAAGGAGTTTGAGAAAAATAATAAACATGGTTCAAATTAGTTTTATATAAGGTATTTTATTAAAATAATTAAATTGGACTTTGAAAATATGAGTTTTTGACCTAAATTCAAGGCCTAAATTTCTATACATGTGATGGAATTATTAAATAGTATTGAAAGAATTTTCGAATAAATTTTGTACTTAAGTTTTAGTTCAAGTGGACCTATTTAGTTTTAAACTATTAGGGACCACACGTGAAATATTAATAGTGAAATTTAGAAGACTAATAGAGGAGATTTGTTGTCTTGCATTCATTGCATTTGGAATGTAAGGCAACATCGATAATATTCTTCACCTATATAGGTTCTAAGTCGAGGGTGTTACAAATTATATCTTTGTATTTTAAGCATATTTTCAATCTATCATTCGGATGATATTTTCAAACAAAACTATTAAAAATATCACATAATTTGTTCATAAGGAATTTACTTTGAAAATACTTTTTAGATGAATGGACAAGTGCAAATTACTAATCCATCACCACTCTTTCTCCAATCTTAGCAAGAATCCAATCAAAGACAAACACCAAACCTATTTTTTTTTCTCCTTGTTATTCCCCATCATTGCTTCTTTGTCTTCTTTCATTTTCCTCCTAATATCCACTCAAAATCAACCCACAACAATTGATCACCTAAAAACCTTCATTTGTTCGGCCAAAACCTTCCTATTTTACCTAAAATCAAGCTTTAATCCGTCAATTTGCACTCATAGACCTTAAAACCGACTCTTTTCAACTTTTTTCATTTTTTTTAAGCCAATATCAAGTCTTAGTCCACTCGGTTACTATCAAACTCGTCACTTTTCTATATATATATATATTATTTTCCGATCATCAACCACTTTAAGCATTCTTTAATCATCAAAATCTAAGTCCAACAAGACAAATTTGTAGTTTTTTTATATAAAAAACGGGTTTGGTACTTGTTTCTAGTAGGAATCGGACTAAAATGATGACATATGGTCATTTACACGTGTATTCGGTTAAAAGAAATAATGTTGTTTTGACTGTTTTACGAAAAATATAATGTGATTAAAAATTCATATATCAACTTACACTCATAGACCTTAAAATCGACTCTTTTCAACTTTTTTTCATTTTGTTTTAAGCTGATATCAAGTCTTAGTCTACTAGTTACTATCAAACTAGTCACTTTTCCGTATATATATATTTTTTTATTTTCTCGACCATTAACTACTTTAAGCATTTCTTTAATCATCAAAATCTAAGTCAAACAACACAAATTTTTAGTTTTTTATATAAACAAACGGGTTTGGTACATGTTTCTAGTAGGAATCGGACTAAAATGATGACGAGATGATCATTTATATGTGTATTCAATTGAAAGAAATAACGTTTTTTTGACCGTTTTACAAAAAATATAATGAGATTAAAAATTCATTTATAATTAATTAATTTAAAATATATAAAAAAAATTGGATAGTTAGACAATTATATCATTTCTCCTAATTAAAATCATAGTAGAAATACAACAATCAAAATTTTGTTAATTAATAGGATACAGTGTAGCTATTACTAGCAGTAGGGTGCAACCACTGTAGGAATAAGAACAGGAAAAGGTCACAGTCTGTCTCTCTCAACATCAATGAAACCTGAAAACCAAACCAAATCAGCTAACAGAAAATAATAACAGAAGAACTTCCCCAACGGTTACATTTCACCTTTTCGCTCTCTCTCTCTCCATCTCTGACCACGTCTTACTACTACTAGTTTCCATTTTTTTCCCCAAAAAACCAAATCCAACTGAAACATATTACTACACTACTACGTACATAATACTTTTGTCTTCAAAAAACGAAAAGAATAGAAAAGAAAAGTAAAGAAAAAAACATGAAGCAAATCGGACCCCACGACCACAACATTCCTGTCTTTCCCTTTAATCTCGGAGGAGACCCATTTTCCTTTTTTTGACACATTAACACAACAATCCTACGCAAATCTCGCAGGTGACACAACACACAACATTCCTACATTTCCCAAAAATAAGAACAAATACTCTGTTTTCTTTTCTTTTCTTTTTTTTCTTTTTCTTTTTGGGACTTCATTGATTCATTGATCACTAATGGGATGGCCTCAAAAGCTTTAATGTAATGTGGTAGCGAGCCATAGAAAATAAACCCATTTTCCCGATCTGGGTCGGGTTAATGGGTTGCATTTACTCCAAAAGGGCGGTCTCTGTGGCTGCTGCCACCCCTGCTTTAGAACCACCATACACAGCGGCTGTTTTTGATCTTGCCTCAGCAAATCCATCTGCGTCATTGGATTTTGACCAGAAACAATACAATCAGGGTAAAAAAGATAGAAACAACAACAATATATATAGAAAAAATAGCTTGTCTTATAAAAATGTTGGCAATGAAGGAGGGTTGATATATGAGGATCATCATCGTCAAAGTAGCAGTCTTGGAACTAATAAAAAGCTGAGGAAAAGAGGGAGTTCTGGTAGTGGATCAATTAGTTTCAAATTGGGGTTCTCTAGTAGGAATGTTGGGGTTGAACAGATTGCTGCTGGATGGCCTTCGTGGCTTAGTGCTGCAGCGGGTGAAGCCATTCATGGTTGGGTGCCTCTAAGAGCTGATGCTTTTGAGAAATTAGATAAGGTATTGTGTGATTCTTGATTTATTTTTCAATATTTTTGAAGGTTTTTATGAATCGTTATTATGTGATTTAAGGACTTTTATATTTTATTTTGTTCATTTACCTGCTTATATCTTATGGCCTCCATAAATCAATTGCATTAGGCTTTTGATTAGTCATTGAATATAAATTTTATTTAATTTATGTGTTAACTTTTTGCTTACCCTTTGGTGGAACGTCCTTAATCTAATGCTAGAATATGGCTGGGCCTGGCAGATAGTCTTTGATAACATTAGTTTGGTTGGGGTGGGGTGGAGGGATCAACTTTTCAGCTAGAAGATGAGAGCATATGTAGAATTTTGGTTCAACAATTTGATGATCCAGAGAAGCCAAAGGGCAGTGATGCTTGCTTGGTGATGCTCTGTGAAAGGAAAAAACGGGTGTTGATGAAATTGAGAGAGTTAAAAGTCTGTTTTTCAATTAAAGCATGTGACAACAAGTTGAGATTGTGGAGATGCTGTGCAGTTTTATATTTTGATCCATGGTGGGAGCTGTAACTTTTGGTTCAGTCATTGATTCATCGGTTTGAAAATGTCAAGAGATACACCACTTAGTTCTGGTGAATAAACGTCTTATGAATGAAAATCAGTCATGCACCATTCTTGACATTACAAAGATCGAAAGAAAACTATAGGTCATTCATGCTTGCAGGTAATCAATTTTCTTTAGGCTGACTCTTCAAATTGTTTTCCTTTAGCAGCACCCAACCCCAGGGTCGAGCCTCAAGTTATAAGCCTACTGATTAGGTTATGTTTTCTCCAGACAATAAGATGGTGGCTCAATAAGGCATGAACCTCAATTTCCTTGAGTAATAAAATAAACCAAGCCTTCAGAATAAGCTTCGATATGCCTCTCGAAAAAGCTACTCAAAGGCACAAGGTTATAAGGAGCACGAATAAAATGCATATTTTACACTGCAAATATATCAAGATATCAGAAAGATTTCTGATTGAAGTGCAATTGGAATTTGCATCCAACCTCAAAGTTGAAAGTCCCTCTACTATCTGTTGCCCAGCAATTAATGTTCCAGTTGATGGTTGCTTCACTTTTTCCTTTTGCGATACATGTTCTAAAATGAGTGGTTTAATGCTTATGTTTTGATCATTTTTGTGACTCGTAATAGTTATGCAACTCCTCCATGTATTTAGATTGGACAAGGTACATACAGCAGTGTGTTCCAAGCACGGGAAGTTGAAACTGGGAAGATGGTTGCCCTGAAGAAGGTCCGCTTTGACAATTTTCAACCAGAGAGCATTAGGTTTATGGCTCGTGAAATAATGATTCTCCGTAGGCTTGACCATCCAAATATTATGAAGTTGGAGGGAATAATTACTTCTCGAATGTCGAGCAGCATTTACCTCGTGTTTGAATACATGGAGCATGATCTTGCTGGACTGTTGTCTTCTCCAGATATCAAGTTCACTGAGTCACAGGTTGGACAGCATTCTATTTATATATTTGGTTTGTGAGGATTTAGCCATTTAGGTTATGTTTCAGGATGTCATATAAAATTGTTCCAACACAAATTAGAGTCATTTCTTCTTAACCATCTTCTTTCTTTCATAGCACTGATCATATCCTTATTTTTCTTTATTCAGTTACCTGACAACTTTAAGTTGACATTTCTTTTGCAGGTCAAGTGCTATATGAAGCAGCTATTACGTGGAATTGAGCACTTCCATTCACTAGGTATAATGCATCGGGATATCAAAGCGTCTAACATTTTGCTAAACAATGAGGGAATTCTGAAAATAGGAGATTTTGGATTGGCCAATGTTCTTAATTCAAGGAACCAGCACCAATTAACCAGTCGTGTGGTGACTTTATGGTATCGTCCTCCTGAACTTTTGATGGGCTCAACAAGTTATGGAGTATCAGTGGATCTGTGGAGTGTGGGCTGTGTATTTGGTGAAATTCTCTTTGGGAAGCCTCTCCTTAAGGGGAGAACCGAGGTAATCTTTCTATCCTAGTGCACTGTCATACACATATGTTTCTGTGAATCAATGGAGGAATGTGAAAAATTGCAAAGATATGTCATGAAAATACTGTCCCTTAAATCATTTTCTATCTATAAACTTCTGGTTCATCATACTAAAGGCCCTAAAATAACTCCAGTTATATTTCCAACTGTTGCTTTCCAAATTTCAGTTTCTTCACAACTTCAAAAGTTCTGTTTGCTTACCCTCATTAGCATTTGATGAAATTCGGGAGCAAGAGAAGAAACTGCAAATAATGGAAGAGCAAATATATATGAACAGATATTATCTTGATCATAACAAAAACTCATAAGCTCGAGGTGTTATCAGCCCTTCCATGAATATATTTCACTTAGCACTACAGCATCTAAAGCATTTGAAAATGGCTGATAAGGATAGAAGACTCTTTCTTTCTTTCCCTTTTTTTTTTTTTTTTTGGAAAATTGCAAGGTGTGTATGCACTTTTCATTTTGGATTCAATAGTTTAGGCTCATTTTCTTTCTGTTTACAGAACAGGTTTCTCAAGAGAAAAAGGTAAGGTGTCAACTAAGACTAACACAATTTTCTTGCCTTCAAAATGGAAAAACCAGATATCCAATATATATGGATTTCATATTATCATCATTTCTTAATTGGCTTACTTCAAAAGCTTATGCTTTGACATTTCAATTTATTTATCATTATCCTTCAAATTGCAGGTTGAACAATTACACAAAATCTTCAAGCTTTGTGGTTCTCCTTCTGATGAGTTCTGGAAACGATCTAAGCTTTCCAATGCTACCATGTTCAAACCCCAGCATCCTTATGAAAGTTCTCTTCGAGAGAGGTGCAAAGATGTTTCAGCCACTGCTGTGGACTTGCTAGAAACTTTACTTTCCATAGAACCGGAAAAGCGCGGGACTGCCTCCACTGCCATTTTGTCTCAGGTTTCACTCACTACAACCAATCTTCTAGCTCTTGAGTTTCCATATTGAAGGCCTAATTTGAAAAATAATTTTGTTTTCAACTACTGCAGTTTTGTGATTTTTCAGAAGCCTTATGTTTTCAGTTTGACTGCTGCAGATTTTAGAACTATGGAAACCTCATAGACTGAATCAATTTTATATTTTTTGCTCAATATTTTAAGCCTTTCACCTTTTCTCTTCTTTGATTTCTCTCTTCCTTTTCCAGTATTTCAGCACAACACCATATGCATGTGAACCATCAAACTTGCCAAAGTATCCACCTAATAAAGAAATGGATGCCAAATATCGAGAGGAAGCACGGAGGTAAAAGTTTTACAATTTGTTAGATTTACTCTTTTTGGTGTGTGTGTGTGTGTGTACTGGGGTTTCAAGTTAAATAGGTTCCACTGCTGAGTGCTGAGTAAAAATGTTCAAAATCTAACTTCAGATTTGTTTTTAGTGCAACATTTAAATTTTTAACAATTATGTAGGTTTTGCTTGTGTTAAGGTTCCTCGAATTTGTCATGTTAACGCTTAATGAGTATGGTATGACATTAACAGTTTAGGAATGCTGGTTGTGCATTTATCGAATTTTCTATTAAATCCGTAATCTAAGGAATCTGCTCCTTGATTAGGCAGCTAAAATGTGATTCTCATGCTTCAGTCTAAAAACCTCATAGCGTTTTAGTTGTCTCTGCAACCAAGGAATTATATCTCCATGGGATAAATTCAGCTTTATAAACTATGCACTTATGCCAACAGGATTTTGGTATGTTTGCCACTGAATAGCTGTTGTACCTACAGGAAAAAGGCTGGTGGTAGAACGGGAGATCCAGGACTACCAAGAAAACCAAGAAGAGTTCATCGGACATTCCAAGAACAAAGCTTAAATAGATCTGCACCTAAGGAGGTCTCTTCTCTCTGTATCTTACTCTCACTCTCGCGTGCATGCTATAGAAATGAGCTAGTTTCTGATATTTTGTTTTCGGTTATGTAGGAAGCAAAAGACAGCACTGAATTTGTTCGTTTGACTAATGATAGTAATGCATATATGAATGGAAGAGGTGTGACCAGAGAGCAAAATTTATTTTCTGACACAATCTCAGAGAAAGCCCAGGCAACAAAAGGACACTATGCTTTCACAGGACCAGCACCAGTCACAGCATCAAGTGGCTTTGCGTGGGCTAAAATGCAGAAAGAGGATTCTAAATCTACAGTATCTTGTGATCCATCTGTCTCATCAAGTCAAATGAGTGCATTAGATTCATCAAGGTTCAACTTTGCAAATGGTTCCTTAGACTTCACTAATGCTGAGAATGGAAGAAACAATTTCCTTGAGGCTTCTGCCAAGCTTGTGATGCAGAAGCAGCATAACCAATCTGATCCCTTTGATTCTCTCAATGCATCCGATGCATACTATTTTAATGATCCAAATAGAACCGAAGCAGCAGTTATGGTAAGAAGTAATCTGATACTGGGACATCATCCCGTGAGATGTAACATCAAAGTTTTACACCGTTTAGAAAGGATGCTTTGAGTCATTTCTGGTGTTAAGACTAACTTAAGTACAATAACTTGCTAGGATCGCAGTAAAGAAAGGGAGAAGATTGAATTTTCAGGTCCGTTGTTATTTCGACCAAATAAAATTGAAGAACTCTTGCAAAGGAATGAAAGTCAGATACGTCGAGCTGCTCGGAGACAAGGTTGGGTATAGGTGAGGATTCCACATTTATCTGTTTCCTAGCTAAGCTAATGCAGTTGTATAATTGACAGTTTGGTTCATGAGATAATTTTTATGTGCTGCTAATTTGAAATATTTTAAGAATGTTGAAGGATCTTAACTCATAATCCCGAATGCCAGGACTAATTTGAAATATTCTAAGCTTCATTGACGCAGGACCAAATATAATCAAATGAAGCTGCTGCTAAGGGGATTTGTTGAGAAACTTAATGATTTTTCTTTTGCTTTTGCTTTTGCAGAAATTTGATGCAAGAATTCTATGAATGGCAAATCCTTCAAGCAGACAATGAATTTTGTCATTTATAGTGCTTTCTATTGCTCTGAGTTCAAACAACATCTTATTTTTTGACATATTGGTGCTGCCTTGGGTTTTAACATCTTGTGTGTTCAAATCCCCACCAATTCCACAAAAAGGGGTTTCTGAATTTGTACTTGACTGCTCATATAGAAAATGGAGATTAGTTATGGGACAGTAGAGCCATTTCAACCGAAAAAAAAAAAAAAAAAAAACCTTGTGCTATATAAAGTTTTATAACACTAGCAAATCATGCTTCCCTGCTCTCCTGCCGGCGGTGCTCGTAAAAGTCATATATAGAATGTCGTTGTAAGGTGTGTGTGTATATATATGTACTTGGATACTGGTATGCATTTTGCACGTTGCTGCCGAGTAATTGTAGTAATAATACAACGTAAAATAGTATAAAAATAGATTATTTAAAAAAATTAAAAAAAATTTATATTATAGAAATGAAAGATAATGGGTCTCAGATTAATTTTTTGTCACACAATAATAAGGGAAAAAAATATAAAACGATGACTATAATAAAAAGTTTTTTGTGCAAAACAGTTATTGAAAAGAACCATAAGGGGGAAAAAAATCAAAAGAAAAGCCTGTCAAGTTAATGTTGTTTGATACAAAGACACATGTTATTACAAATATATATAACAACTATCAATAAAATATGTGACAGCTTCTTGAATATTAAATTATCATAATTTTCAAAATCTACTTTTTATTTGTAATTTATTTTTCTTGATATGATCGACCTTGTTAAATATTATTGAGTAAAAAATGAGAAGAAATATTAAATGGACATAAGTAAGTGAACCTAAAGACCTCTATTTTAGCTTTACATAACACAAAATAGGAACTAGTCACTTGCCCACGCTATACTCGGGAGTCCAATTTTACTCGATGAGAAGATTGTTTTTTTTAAATATATATATATATACACATTTGATTTATATATATTTATTTACAAAAATATTAGTATACAAAATTGTATTTGAATTATTAGGTAATTATTCTAAAATTGTTATGAAATAATGAATGTCCATCATCATGTTCATTTACTTTTCATATCAATTCTTAATATGATTCAATTCATCATTCAATATGAGAAATTAAAAAAGTGATGCAATTGATTATTTATAATCCCTTCCAATTCTCTCTTTAATTTTAAAGCCTATAAATAGGCTTGATTGTTCATTAGTTGGTGTACAAGTTTCCTAGAGAGAATAAGAGAAACTTTGAAGTTCTTATCACTTATATTCACATTATAGTGATTTCATTTTCTTGTCATCCTTTTTTTCAATTCTTCTATTATTTTTATTTATTTTATAACACGTTATCCGCACGAAGCTCTAACCAATCGAGACAATAGACCATTAGGTATGTATCTATCAAAATACTTAATCAATTGTTTAAAACATTGGATTTCTTCTACACAAGTGCTCTACAAAAAGATATAAATTATTTAGATCACTAAGAGGTATGTATCTAATTTATCATATACTTTAAATATAATGATATATAGAATGTACATTTAAAAAAATTGAATAATTTAATATATAGAATCTAATGATCTAATATATGTTGTTTAAAAAGCTTTAATTTTATTATTATGTTTGTTTTTATTTTCTAATAATATTATTATATATTATATTGTAGAATTTTTATCATATCAAACCTCATAAACTTGATTTTGTGGCTCTTGATATTTCCCATAAGAATTATTAATTATGAGTGCTTAATTATGAAAAAAATATTCTCTACTTTTTATGTCTTGGATATGCTCCCGCAATAGCAATATCGAGAAGATGAATTTAAGAAACATTCTGAATCGATTTCATAGTTACTCATGGCTAAATAAAATGACAAGCTATTGATGAAAAAGAATAGATCTCATCCAACTGGATTTACTCCATTCCCTAAAGTGAATGTGACAACTTATAATAATTTTGAGTATGGACAAAGATGTGGTCATAGCCATTGACGTAATCGAAATAATTATCATTATAATCGTAATGACCATAATATTACATCTCACCATCAAAAGTGGATAACTATGAAAAAAAAGAAATAAAAATAGATAAAGTCGGTATTCGATAAATAAATATTATAGATATGGAATGAACGAATATTAATCGCGTACCTGTCATATACCAAAGCACCTCATTGAGGCTTGTCAAGCCTTAGTGAAAAATAAAAAGTAAAATATGAAGGCCACTTTTATATATCAAAGTAATAGTAATTGAAATTAATTATTTGTTAGTTTTTCTATTTATAAATAATTTTTTTTATATTTCTTATAATTTATGTCGTATATTGATGGTTATAAATTTATTTTACTATTTATTTATTTGTTTATGTTTATGAGGCATATATTGATTTATTTTATTATTTATTTTATGTTAATATTATATATAATAATATCAATGTAATAGAAAGCTCCGTAAGAGCGATTATATTATTACTCAAAGAGATAAATTTTAAGGTCTGTAGAAGAGCGATTATATTATGTCTTGAAGAGATAAATTTTTGAAGCTCTAGAAGAGTGGATAAATTATTACTTAAAGAGAAAATGTTTAAAGGCTCTAGAAGAGTCGATATATTATTACTTGAAGTGACTAATTTAAAGGCTCCAAAAAGAGCAAATATATTATTATCTAAAAGGATAAATTTATTATGAATGATGTATTATTCTCTTCAAAGTCTCATAGAAATTTGTCAAGTTTCAAAGATATTCATCTGAATTGATATCATATCAAGATAGCAAATGTGAATACTTATATGTTATAATCATTATATTGGGTAGAAAATATCTATCAAAAAATTTATCCATTTTCTTTTCTAGTCTTTATTGCAAACATTGAAATGATTGAAATAAATATTATAGTAAATCGAAGTTTACTAATTCAAATACTTTTACTATGTGACATGACCAGTTGTGTTATCTTGGATCTTTCATGATGCAAAAAAAATTATTAAAAAATTTATATGAATATCTATTGAAGAGCCGAAGATTCTTCAATTTAATGAACTTTCATGTTCCGCATGTTGCTAAGGCAAATTGATGATTAAGCCATCATCAAGTAAAATTGAGATTGAATCTTCAGTATTTTAGAATGTATTCAAGGTGATATATGTGGATCAATTCATCCACCATAGGGACCATTGAAATATTTTATGATTTTGATAAATGCATCTACAAGATGGTCACATATATACTTATTATCTACTCGAAACCCGATGTTTTCGAGATTGCTAACAAATAATTTGATTTCGAGCATAATTTTCAAATTATGCCATTAAAACAAGTCACCTTGATAATGCTAATGAATTTATTTCTCAAGCATTAAATTATTATTGATTGGCTATTAAAATAAAGGTTGAACATCTTGTTGTTCATGTTCATACTAAATAAGGTTTAGCAAAATCATTTATCAAAAGGCTCCAATTGATAGCTAAACCATTATTTAAAAATAAAACTCCCTGTTTATGTTTGGAGACATGCAATCTTAAATGCAAAAACACTTATTCGCATATGACCCATAAGTTATCAAAAATTCTTTCATTTTCGGTTGATTTATGGTCATAAGTCAAATATTTCTTATTTAAGAATTTTTTTGACATTGCAGATGTATATCCTTAGTGCTCCTTCATAAGAAAATAAAATGAGCACTTAAAGGAGATTGAGAATATATATTGGATTTGAATCCTTTTTGATAATTAAATATCTTGAATCATGAATAGGTGATATTTTTACAGACTTGATTTATCGATCGTCATTTTGATGAAAGTTTTTCTAACATTAGGGGAGAGAATAAAAAAATAAGTAGTTGAAAATGTTAAAAAAAAAAAAAAGAGATTACATGGAGTACTTTATCTTTATATCAATTTGGTATAAAACAATATGAACTAGAAGTTCACAAGATAATTCATTTACAAGGTATTATAAACCAACTCGCTAGATGTATTCTTATATCCTAAAAGAGTAAATAAAATGCATGACCTCGTTGAGAATGCTCATATTAGAATTGATGTCTTAAAAGGATAGTCTATTAATATTATAGCTAACGAATTTAAAGCAAACCCGAAGCATGAAAGATCGATCGATTCCGAAGATAAAAATTCCTAAAAGAAAAGGATAAGATGAAAATATAAAGGATGTAAATATTTATAAAATGGTCCAAGATATTTCGATAATTGACTTCTAGAAGAAGTCCAAATGCTTGAGAAAAAACAAAAGATTTTGATAAATTATGTCAATACAGGGAGAAAATAGGATCGGAGAGAAATATTTATTGATAAGATTTTTTTATGTAAAGTTACAATTGATATTTTGAATGAAAATAAGGATCCCGAGCCTAAATTATTGAAGAATGTTGACAAAAAGATGATTGACCTAAATGAAAATAGCAATCCAAGCAGAATTATGTTTCTCCTACAAAAGAGTAGTTTTTGAACCCATAGCTAAAACACTTGAAGGTGTTAAGTTGGTGGGATACAAATAAGTATTTATACAAACACGAAATAAGAAAGATGAGATTGTAAGATACAAAGCAAAACTTTCAACACAAAAGTTTTTGCAAAGAACTAACATTGACTATAAGGAGACATATTCTCCTATAATTGATGCAATTATATTTTATTATCTTATTAGTCCGAAAAAATATATGAAAAACATTCATATGCATGTATTTAATAAATGTTATCACAATTTATTTGTTCATTTGAAATGAATCAGAATGAAAGTCCTAGAAGGATTTAACATCTTAGAAGCATGTAATATATATTCTCGGGATAAGAATTCAATTAAATTATAGAGATCTCTATTAGGATTATTTTAGTATTTGTTTTATTATTTTGGTTTTTAGAAATTCAATTTATACTTTTTATATTTTATTTTTATATCTATTATTTATTACTAACCCATGTGCATGTGATATAATCACTTCAATGATTATTTGTTGAAAGAAAGTTATAAAAAATAACCCTATTTGTTCATATGTTTTTATTTGAAAAGGGGTTTGTTATATATGTTGATAACTTAAATATTATTGGAACTCCCAAAGAGATTCCAAGTGTCATAAGTTACCTAAAAAGAGAATTTGATGTGAATATCTTGAGAAAACAAAATGTTATCTTGACTTGCAGTTCGAGCACTCGAGAGAATAAGATTTTTATTCATCGATCAATTTGTATAGAAAAAGTTCTACAATAATTCTATATAAAGATCATTCATGGACTAGCCCAATGGTAGTTCATTCACTTGACATCCAAAAATATCTTTTTCGACCTCTAGAAGATAACAAAGAACTACTTGATCTTGAAGTACTATGTCTTAGTGCCACCGATATATTGATATATCTTACTAATAATACTCGACTCGATATAGTCTTTTCTATAAATTTATTAGCAAGTCATAATTTTGTTTCAATACGGAGATATTGAAATAAAGTTAAATATATATTATGTTATCTTCGAAGAATAATTGATATGGGCTTATATTACTCTAATAAATCAAAGACAAGATTAATTAGTTATGCAAATGTAAGTTATTTATCCGATCCGCACAAAACTCGATCACAACTCGGTTATATATTTACATATGGAGATACAGCTATATCTTGACATTCTATGAAGTAAACTATAGCTACCACATATTCAAATCATACAAAAATACCAATTTACGAGGCAAGTCGAGAATTTTTTTAACTAAGATCAACGATCCATCGTATCCGAGAGACATGCAGTTTATCTACCGGTAAAAGAAGTTCCAACAATATCATATGAGGATATGCTACTTGGATAATTCCATTGAATGAAGAATACATCAAAGTGACAATCTAGCAGATTTATTCGCTAAAGCATTACCTACCATAACTTTTGAGAAGATGATTCACAAGATTGAAATGCGTCGTCTTAGAGATTTTAAACAATTCCTTCAATAGGGAGAGACCAAAATGGAGATTAATGTGTGTAAGGAATATTGTACTCTTTTTCTTTCACTAGGATTTTTTTTCCACTCGGGTTTTTTCCTAGTAAGGTTTTAACGAGGCAAGTTCCTTGTACAATGGACATTCGAGGGGAGTGTTATGAAATAATGAATATCCATCATCATGTTCATCCACCTTTCATATCCTCACTACTCATGATTCGTAATATGATTCAATTCATCATTCAATATAAGAAATTGAAAAGGTGATACAATTGATTATTTATAGTCCCTTCTAATTCTCTCTTTAATTTTGAAGCCTATAAATAGGTTTGATTATTTGTTAGTTGGTGTATAAGTTTCCTAGAGAGAATAAGAGAAACTTTGAAGTTCTTATTACTTATATTCACATTATAGTGATTTTATTTTCTTGTCATCCTTTTCTTCAATTCTCCTATTATTTTTATTTATTTTATAACAAAAATATTATTTTAATTATTTTATTTGAAAAAAATCATTTTAAATATTAAAAAAATAGTAAATATTTGGTATTGTCTATGTAGATGCATAGTTGATTTCTAAAAAAATCAATGACTCTAATATTATTAATTTTTATACATCATGATCATACTCAATAGGTGAGAATGTATAAAAAAACTGAAATATTTTTAAAAAATTAAATAGTAAAATATATATTGAAGTTAATAGAGTGTAGTAAAAACTATAAAACTGATTTCAATAAACTTTGATTATATAAAAAATAAGAAAATAAAATATATATATTCAATTTTGAAAATTTGATTATATAAGAATTAAACAAATTAAAAAAAGTATGAAAAAAAATTATTCAAATCCATACATAGGGAATATAAGTCATATTTATTAATAAATAAAATTATATAAAAAAATAAGAATAAAAATCAACTCGATGAGAATTTTTATCGAAAAAATCAATTTTAAGCAATTATAGTAGTTTATTTATTCTAAAATCTTAAAACATACCTTATAAATGTAAAACATTTCATATATATATATATATTATATAATAGTCACTTTGTGTAAACAAAAAAATAATGATTGATTTTGTAAAATTTTAACACCTAATTAAATAAAAAAAAAGAACATAAATTGATGAAAAAAAAGAAAAAAAAAGCATTTGTAGTGCGTCGGTTAGGGGATTAAAATTTTTATTGGAAAACCTTAGAGATAAAATAATCTAAAAATTTTAAAAAATTAAATAAAAAGAACCTAAATTGATGAAAAAAAAAACAAAGGGGAAAAAAGGCATGTATAGTGAAACTAAAGCAAAAAGAATATATCATATAAATATAAAAAAATATTGTATATATTATATAATAGCGAGTTTGTGTAAAAAGGAAAAATAACGATTGATTTTTTAAAATTTTAACACCTAATTACATATAAAAAAGAACATAAATTGATAGAAAAAAAGCAAAGAAATATATAAATATAAAAAATATCATATATATTATATAATAGTCAGTTTGTGTAAAAAAAAAAATTATTTTTCATAATTTTAACACCTAATTAAATACAAAAAAAGAACATAAATTGATGAAAAAAAAAAGCAAAATTGATTTTTCAAAATTTTAACACCTAATTGAATAAAAAAAAAAACATAAATTGATGGGAAAAAAAAGGAAAAAAAACCATGTGTAGTGCATTAGTTAGGAAATTAAAATTTTTATTTTAAAATTTTAGAGATCAAAATAAAACAAACCTAAAATTTTTTAAAAATTAAATAAAAAAGAACCTAAATTGATGCCAAAAAAGTAAAGGGCGAAAAAAAAAAAAACATGTATAGTGCAGCTAAACTTAAAAAAAAAAAAAAAAAAAAAAAAAAAAAAAAAAAACAACCTTGGTTGTAAAAAGTAGATGAAATTTCAAGAGAGAAGAAAAAAAAACACAATAAAGTGTTATTAAGTAAACCTAGAAAATAAAGATTGCCAAAGAAAACACTATTCATTAAACGAGTGAAAGTGACTTGTATTTTAGAGTATTAGTAATACTAAAAAGACTATTTGCATAAGGTATGGGTAAAAATCATGCATAACAAAATTTCAATGATAAAAATAAAGTAAAAATCAAATAGCAAGATCAAAATAGAAAGAAAACTTTAGCTAAAAGCCTAAAATTGGCCTAGAAAGAGTAAAGGCATTATCTCCATCTAGAAATAAAACTTATAATTTAGTCCCTTTTTAGGTTTTTGATTTTGTTATTCTTTCATATTTATATTTGATATCAAATTTTATAAAAAAAAAAAAATCAATTACACTCCTAAATATAACTAATTTTCTCAAAAAAAATAAAAATAAAAATAAATTATGTATTTGTAAGATAAAAAAATAGTTAAATAAATAGACATGTGTTATAAAATAAATAGAAATAATAGGAGAATTGAAGAAAATGATGACAAAAAAATGAAATCACTATAATGTAAATATAAGTAATAAGAACTTTAAAGTTTCTCTTATTCTCTCGTAAGAAACTTGTACAACAACTAATGAACAATCAAGCCTATTTATAGGCTTCAAAATTGAGGAGAGAATTGGAAGGGACTATGAATAATCAATTGCATCACCCTTTCAATTTCTCATATTGAATGATGAATTGAATCATGTTAAGAATCATGAGTAGTGAGGATATGAAAAGTGGATGAACATGATAATGGACATTCATTATTTCATAACAACATGCTAATTTACACTAATAATTTATTGAAATGAAATCAAAGACTATTTTCAATAATTCAATATAACATTTTAAGGAAAATTAAAATAGAACAATAATTTTATACTTTGATGGATCAAAATAAAAATATAATATAAGGACTTAAAAAAAAACTTTGTAGCATTTAGGGTCAAAGATCATATCACCGAAATTCTAATGACCAAAATAGAGGTAAGATCATAAAACAAAGGATCAAAAACAACAACAAAAAATGAAAAAACAAAAAAGCTTAGCTATAGTAGCATCCTATTTTATTTTAGTAATATCAAGTATTTTTGTTCATTGGAAGGCCAACATGTTTTAAACTATATATAATGGTAATTATCTTCCTATATTAACTTCTTTTCCTTTAAAGAATTCTTTTTTTCTTTAAGTTTTTACATAAATAAAAGAATATTAAATGTTATGCTATATTAAAACTTTTATTCATATTTTTTTAAAATAATATTTGTATTTGAATAATTTTTTACGAGTGTAAAGTTTAATTAGGAATAATTATTGTTATCACCCAATTTTAGACCTCTCCATTTTACATGCTTTTTCTTTAAAAAATGGAAATGCAAATAATAATAATAATAAGATGTGATGTGTTTAATTTGCTTGATTGTACAATTTTCATCCAAGGGATCGAATTGTTTTAGAAACCCTATGATTTTTTAGAGTTCAGAAAAATTAACAAAAAGAGAGAAAATAAAAAAAAGGAGAAAATATGCAAAATAAGAAAAAAGAGAGGAGAAAATAAAATGCAAAAAGAAGAAGAAGAAAATAGGTGGAAATTGAGAATTTTGAACCCAATTAATTAAATGTGAGATATTGAATAAAAAAATAATTGGAATATGGGTTTAGTTACAAAACATGTCAATTGAGAATACAAAGAAAAAAGGAAGGAAGTGGCGATGTGCAAAATGTTGAAAGAAAGAAAAAAGATAGAGGTCAATGTCAAAATTTTTGAAAAGCTAAACCCTCACAATAAAAGCTCTCTTTCTGTCTCGAAGGGAAGGTCATTCATTCATCTTCTTCTCTAACAAGAAATCTACCATTTCATAAAGAATAAAGAGTCTCCATTGCCAAAAAAAGAAAAAAGAAAAAAAAAATCAAAACTCACAACTTCCACCTTTCTTCCTCCACAAGCCGTCGCCCCCTCTCTACTTCTCCATCATTTTTTGCAGCTCAACACCTCCATCTCCTCCTCCATTGAAGCTGTCATTTTCCATAACCAAAACCCTTTTAAAACAGCCCCTAAAACTCCCTTAAGATAGCCATTAAAACCCCCACAAAACAACCCCAAACTCGCCTCTAAAGCCATCGACCAAAACACCTCTTACTCTCCTTAAAAAAACCCACCAAATGTTATCCATTTTTCATCCATCTTCATCTAACTTCCATCCCTCAAAATAGCCACTAAAACCCACCCAACATCCCCTTAAAACCCACCTCAAGATATCACTAAAACCCTTCATAAAACAGGCCCAAAACCTCCTTTAAACCGTCAACTAAAACACCTCCTGCTCTCCTCTAAAAAACCTACTAGTTGCTGTCATTTTCCAAACATCTTCCTCCAACTTCCAGCACACAAAACAGTCCTTAAAAACATTCTTCAAACTCTCCTTGAAAACTCCTTCAAACCCACCATTAAAACCCCCATCAAAGCTACTATGAAGCCTTCTTAAAAGATTATGCAAATATGGCTTGATAGCAACTCCTTATTAACAGTATTGCTACCATCATTGTAGCTTTTATTTTATCAAAAAATGACCAGCCATAACTCCTTTCTCTATAACAAGTGTTCTGTAGTAGGTTGGCTCCTCTCTAGCAATGTTTTTCAGCAATAAAACGCACCAAAATTCGACCAAAAAAATCACCTTAAACAAAACTCATATTTCCACGATTGACATATTGACCTTTAAAGATAGATATGAGAATTTCACTTTCTTAAAAGCCTAGAATAGAAAAACAACCTATTAGGATTTGAAGGAGACATATTATGCTTTCTAAACTAATGAAAAACTTAGAAATCCATTATGGTTTGGACTATCAAAGTTGGATGTAAAGTCGAGTCGAAATTTAGATTCCGTGACAATCCGAACACTTCTTAGTATTTGACCCATATGTAGAGTTATACATATTGGATTGCGATGATTTAAAATAATAGAGAAATAAGACATCCAAACCCATAATTTTTATAAAGACTCAAGAGTAAAAAAGCTTTTATCTAATCCTAAATTAGTCTAGAAAATACTACTATAAATAGCCCTATCTCGCCTCCTTCTAGTAGCGGACTATGCTTCTCCATGGTAGTTCATTTTCAACGATCGCAAGCATAAGCTCCTCAACTTTTCAACTTAAAAAAAAGGCCCGCAACAATCCCTTTTTCAACCAAATTTCCTTCTCTAGTTAACAATACAAATTATCTTTATTAGAGATTGAAAAAAATAGTCAAGGCAAGCAAAGGAAGAATCATGATTTGATTTGTTTAAACTTTCCTCTCTTTTGTTGACAATACGAATTATCTCCATCGAAGAGTTGAAGAAGTGACAAATTCATCATCGATCTAAAAGGCACTTTTGATGTGCTTTAGAAAACTCCTTGGTTATTTTGACGAACAAGGTAAGCTCTTGATACCATTTTTTTTTCATTTATAATCTTCCTAAATTCAAATGCACTTAGATTAAAATTATAAATAGATGCGATGTTATGATGTATACGAGATTTGAAGTGTATTCGGATGCACCATTATATATCTAAATCCTAAAGGGTGGGAGATACCAAATATTTTGAAGAGTAATAAAAATGATTAAATAATGCTCTATGATGGAGTTAGAAGTATGCGTTTGGAATTTAATTTCAATTTTTTATTTGAAACAAGTTTCGATCCCAGTATTCATACTTGAAAATAATTTTTTGTTTTTTTTGAATGACATGATTGATCCAAGATGCCGATTGTAATATTTTGATTACACGAAGTTCATGTCTAAGACATGATGTAAATGACTTACTATTCGCCGAATCGAAGCCGTTAGTGACTTCTCACTTATATGAATGAAGTCACCAATGAGTTTCAAATATTTTTAGATTACTTGTTGTTTATTGAATCGAAACCATCGGTAGTTTTTTCACTCATGCGAACAAAGCCACCAAGTGGCTTTCAAACATTTTTAAATGATTTGTTCTATTAAATCGAAGCCATCGGTGGCTTTTCATCCATATGGATGAAGCTTTCAGTGGCTTTCATTTTATTTAAATGATTTTTTATATGGGCTACAACCCATATAAAAAATCATTCAAATAAAATAAAAAAGCCAAGTCCCCGTACGATCGTAGCCCATATCGGTTAAAGGTTTTGATGTTGCTTTATGGTGAGTTTTAGTTGCTGTCTTGAGGGTTTTAGGGGGCTATTATGGTGGGTTTTAGTGGCTATTTTGAGGGATGAAAGTTGGAGGAAAATGAATGAAAAAATGTACAAGAATCGGTAGGTTTTCCGGGCTTTGGAGGAGGTTTGAGTCGTTTTATAAGTGGTTTTAATGGTTGTCTTAAGGGAAATTTATGGGTTATTTTGAGAGACTTTTGGTCCTAAAAAATGAAAACTTCAATGAAGGAGGAGATGGAGGTGTTGGGAGGAAAAAAATGAAGAGAAACAAAGAGGGGGCGACGACTTATGGAGGAAGAAATGTGAAAGTTGTGAGCTTTGGTTTTTTGGCAATAGAGGCTCTTTCTTCTTTATGGAATGGTAAAAAAAAGATCTTTCTCTCACTAGTTTTCTTGTTAGAGAAGAAGATAATTGAATGGCCTCTCCTTTGTGAAAAAGAAAGAGAGCTTTTATAGTGACGGTTAGTTAGAGTTTTAGAAATTTTGACATTGACCTCATTTTGTTTTCTTTTTTCCCACATTTTGCACATCACTCCTTCCTTCTTTATTTGTATTTTCAATTGAAATTTTTTTTTTATTGAACACTAATTCAATTATTTTTTAGTGCAATTTCTCACATATAATTAATTGGGTCCAAAATTCTCAATTTCCACCTATTTTCTTCTTCTTTTTTTCTTTTTTTTCCCCCATTTTTTCTTTTTTTCTCTTTTTTTCTTTTTTTCTGCAAATTAAACACATCACATCTAATTATTATTATTATTATGGCTTTACCTCACATTTAGTCCTTATACGAGTTTCAATTTTTTTTTATTGAGACTCTCTATATTTTTTCAGCTTGATTGAAACCATTTACTTTTTGAAATTTATTGATTCAAACCCTCTATATTTTTTCTTTAAGTTATGGGTTTTGTTCTTGCATTTCTAGGTTTGGGGATGAATTTATGGGTTTCGAAACCTAGAAATTTGAGAACAAAACCTAGAATTCAAATCGAAACCTAGAAATTTAAGAACAAAACTCAAAAATTCATCTCCAAACCCAAAAATTCAAGAACAAAACCCATAAATTCAACCCTAAATCTAGAAATTCAAACAATGTCCAAAAAAAACCCGAAACCCCGAATTGAAAATCATTTGAAGTCTCTTATTTTCGCTCTTTACTATCCATTTCTCTTTTTCTCACCATAGAATTGAAGGATTTTTGAAGAATTGATGAACAATTCCGCATAAAAACACATATTTTGCATAATTAATGAATAATTCTCGCATAATTGTTCAAATTTTTTTGCTTTTCCTCTTTAACATAACAATCAACATTCAAAAAGAAAAAAAAAACTTATACATTTATTCATAACACTTTATTCCATAACAATCAACATTCCTCTATAACATTCAACCAAAAAAAAAAAAAAAACAATTGTACATTTATCCATAACACTATATTTCCATAACAATCAACATTCCTCTTTTTTTTTAAAAAAAAAACTAAAACTAAAAATTTTACATTTATCCATAACACTATATTTCCATAACAATCAACATTCCTCTTTAACATTCAACAAAAAAGTCCATACATTAACGTGTTAATTTCCATAAATCAATATTAAATTATAATTTTTTTCACATAATGTTTAATACATTTAACATTCAATATTCAATTGGTATATTTAATACATTTAACATTTAAAATTCAATCTGGTACATTCGTTGCCTAACAACAATATTGATATCCCCTTAATTGCAGAAACTTACAAACAATCCTATTGAATAAAGATTAATTCCAAACACCTTACAAAATTATCACAACCCATCAAACAAACCTAGTCAACATTAACCTAATCTCAATAACATCCTACTTAACCACCAACAAGCACATTAACATCACAATTATTGCAATCAAGCAACTAATACAATGGTTACACTCAAAATTCTTCTTCTCCCTATCTTCATTACTCTTAACAATCTTCTCTCTTGAAGCATATTTTCTCTTAACATATGCTCATTCTCTCGCAACTAGCCTCTTTTTAGTATACTTCAAAGCATTAATTACATTTCTTACTCTTCCTCTAATCATAGGATCTTGAAACTGAAAATAATTATATTTTGTGCTACCATCCACTCGTGTTAAATTTGGGGCATGTAAAAAACCTCATGCTTGAATTATTATCACTCTATGAAGTCCATCAAGGAATTGGGAGTTCACATTTGTAGTATCTCGTAGGCGAATTATCGAGATAATCATACTCGGGTTTTTGAATGAACAATGAAGAAATATTTTTCACATTAGAGGGTTTTGGGTTTGGTGATTTAAGAGAAGAATAAGAAAATGAATGTGAAGCCATTAATTCTCTCAATCCCAATCAAAATTTGAAGAAGATGACAAGAGTGGCGTAAGATTTTTAACAAAGACCTAACTCATTCTCTCTACCCTCAATTCACTTCAATTAGCCAAAAACCTAACCGAAATCTAATCCTTAAGAGACAACCCTCGCAAAATCGCTATCAATGGAGCGAACTTTCACATTCTCTTCCCTTTTCTCCTTTTCAATTAATCATTCCTTCTAAAACCTAATTTTTTAGGAGAGGAATTGAAAGCCTTACCTCTTTCAATTTCTTTCAGCTTCAACTTCAAAAAAAAAAAAATTAATGGTCAATTGATAGTTGACCTAAAAAATAACGAAAATTGGACAATTTGAATCAAATTTGCCCAATTCCCAATACTTTTGATGTTCAAATTATGCAATTTCATACTTTGAATCCAAATTGATAAAAAGCAATCCTTTGGGGGCAAAAAATATTGTAATACCAATTTGAATGTGTATTGGTTTGGAAAAAGCTATTGTATTTCTAGTAAATGATAATAGATGAAAACTCGATCGACACTAGCTATAACAATGAAATAAAAGACATATTGATTGCCCATCTATTACATGATTTCTCAATTAGGTTCTCAAACAAAAACAAATTCTCAATTTGATCCCACTATTAAACATTATTCAATTAACTCCACTTTTAGACAAAAATTGAACATCACCCAATTAACTCCACTTTTAGACAAAAATTGAGTCCTTAGAGTAGAAAATACAAATTGGATACCATTGTCAAACATTGCCTAATTAACTCCACCTTTAGACAAATAAATCCTCTCATGTGTGTGTGTTTTACAAGAATTTTTTTTAAGTAGAGGGTTAATTGGATAATATCCAATAGAGGGGAGACCCAATTGGGAATTTTTTTTTTTTTTTGGGACTCGATTGAGAATTAAATAGCGAGTTAGGGGATTAATATGTCCTTTCTTATCTTATTAAAATGTTCATGAGGTGTTTGGACTTTAGATATATCTTAGTTTTAAATGGATCGAACTACTTTAGTTTGAGACTCGTGTTTGTTTGGAGGAAAACAAGTTTCAAAAACTTGTTTTTCTTATTTTTTAGTGTTTGTTTCGCATTTAGGAAAAAAGTCAACGAAAAATGATTTCCAATCAATGGAAAATGATACAATATTTTTGAAAAAATGTTTTTTCAGTTTCAAAAGAAGAAAACATTTTCCTTCTTACGAGTTGTCTCGCTCTTGCCTTACATACCTCTCTCTCGATATATTTTTACAATTTTTTTCTTCATCTTCTTATTATTTAAATATATCAGATTAATTTTTAATTATTTCTTATCAATTATTATTTATTATTTTATCTCTATTTTTACCAATATTTGATTTTTTGATTTATAGATACATTAGATATTCTTAAAAACCTTTTTGACACCTTAAAATTATTTTTATAATAAATATTCCAATAATTTATCTCGATTTTTTTACTATTATCTCAAACACCACCTAAAATATATTTAAATGATTGAAAATAATTATTACAAGACTATAATTTTTTTGTAAAAAAAAAAAATAATTAATTCATCAATAAATACATTATTTTTCCAATACTATTCATTTGTAATTAAATCAATAATTTGTAATTTTAATCAATTATAAAATTTTATTGGTAATTGTAGTGAAAAATTAGTTACAACTTATTCCAACATTAATCTTTTGGGACCAAATGAATAATTATCTATAAATGATAACTAATAATTTATAAAACTATTTTTCAAACTAAATTATCAGTTCAATTTCTAAAAAAAAAAATTCTTAATTGAGTTATTAAAATAACAATGCTATGATTACTTAAAATCTATTTTTACTAAATGTAGATATTGACTTGATTTTGTCCCAAGTAATTTTGATGAATTAGTTTGATAGTTAAAAAAGTAAATTTTATTTTTTAATTACAATTTTAGAGTTAGTGTTTATGAAAATTTATTAAATTTTTCTAAATATATCTTATATTGTGAAATTATGAATGTCTTTTTGAAGTTGTCTCAAAACTTGTTAATATAACAATCACTTATCTTTTTGTACTTTAATTTTTTATATCAAACACTGAAATATATTTTTCAATAATATTTTCATCTAATTGCCAAACAAAAAATATGTTTTTGGAAATTAATTTTTTGAAAAATAATTTCCTCATGAATTGATTTTCCTATGAAAATTGTTTTTCCCTAAACCAACACAACCTGAATGAAAATTATAATCTCTCATTACCAACTTAATCCTACCAGGGTTACCGTAACAAAGTTCATAAACATTTGAAAAGACAACTTGAGTCAAATGTTTTCCATGAATTATCTCTTATTTATTCCTGTGTAGTAAGTAACTTGATAGTATACGACATGTCTGCATGATGTCTAACCTCTGTGATTATTGATTTGGGCACATTTAAAAGTAGCAACACTGCTTCTAATTCATAAGAGGTAAGACTGATTAATTCCAACTTAATCCTACCAGGGTTAGCACAAATACAAGTTATTAACCAATAGGGAGTCATGTCTTGTTAGCAAAATATAACACAAACAAGTATTACAACAACATTTGTATTTTCATTATTACTTGTACATGATCCAACAACATATTTCGTTTTCTATTATAAACGACAAAAGGAGTTTCAGTTCCGTTCCTTGTTGAACATTGGTATTTGCAGGGGTACCGAAAGGATTTCTTGATCTTCTCCAAACATAGATATGCTTATTTTTAACTCTCATACCCTGCACCTCACCATCCATGTTATTCGTCATCAACAGTCACAAGCGTCGGCAGTTGACCATGATCGACAAAATCAATCTTGTTCAATCTCAGACAGCATAAAACTTGTTCCGGAAGTTCTTCTTGTTTCTGTGCCTGTTAATAGAATATATAAATGTTGGTTTGATCCAAGAATGAGTTTGAAAGCTTGAGAGTGCTTTAGATAAAGTAGAGGCTTAATTCAATAGGTATAATAATGATTCAGTATCCAGTTCCTTAATCCTCCTCTTGTCTGCAGATTAAGTTCCTAGAAATCTTGACAAAAATAGTCGTAGGACTGGCTCAGGTGATAAAGGTGCGCTCCTATTTAAGTAGTGATCTTAGGTTTAGCATAAGCATAAAGAAACTTTAACTTGGATTGTGGGAACTAGGACTGGAGTTAAGTTGTATCGATGAAGCCCATTGATCTCAAAGATGCGGACAACAGACAAGCTTGAATGTGCAGCAGTGAAGAATGTGATAAGTTAGATTGATTACCTGGATAGTTAGACCTAGATCAAGTATTCCATTTTTCAGACGGTCTCGAAATGATTCAAGTCCCTTTCTTGATATGTAGCTGAAGCGATGGATATCCAGATCAATCTCAAAGTAATTGGGGCCCTGCAAGAACAATAGGATGGGCATAGTCATATATCTTTTACCTTAACCACTCCTCATTTCATAAATAAGGTTTCATTATGTGTGTTTATTATCATGCACAAGCGTGTGTTTTATTACCAAGCAGAACAGATGGCAGGTTGATAAGCCAGGAAGAATAATCAAAAGTCAACTCATGCTATCATTGCTCATCCCATATTATACAGACCAGATATTGTTGCAGAAAATTTGAAAAAGCTAATTATTGACCTAGTTGCATCAACAAAATGAAAATAAGAAAGAGAGAATAAGAACAAAATTTTATCCATTTTAGGCCGTCCACGAAACAAAATCTAGTGAAACAAAATCCAGTGCCTTTGTCCTGCTGAATTACCGTGTTGCAGACTAGAGCTACATCACATAATTACTAGGATCGAATAGTAGCATATTTCATAGTGAAAACAAAAGTGAGAAGAAAGGAACTAGGAAGTAATTACTGCCTATTGTAGCAAAATATGAGAAAGAGGACTTCAAGTTTATTATTGTCAAATGAAATTTGAACAGCACAGCAGATCCTATGCAAACTAGTTTAAGATTTGGCAGAACTGAAAATGAATTAAATCATGATTTACCTTATAAAATTCATGCTGCGGGCGAGAAAGGACTGGCTTTTCATTATAAGCATTAACAAGCTTTCTTTCTGTAGAACTCATATTGAGATCCTCAGGATTAACCAACCCAGTCATGATCTTTAGCCTCTCTCTATATGGAACAATTGAGTCTTTTGCAAAACCTCTAACCTTTTCCATCTCATCCTCAATCAATTTCTGTCGCATTGAAAGAAACTTTCAGCCAACAAAGACAATGGCAACCAAAGATAAGAAAGCACATAGCATGTTGAAACTACAGGACATCAAACTAAAATATCATGAAGAGTATTTTGAAGAGTCTTTGAAAGTAAGATTAGAAAAATATTATAGTGATTTCCTCAAACAATGAAATTCCGCAAAAAATAAATAAATAAATTTCGTTCCCATTATGATTGTTATGCATGGTCATTTTTTCTCTTTCGATGGTAATCTCCCAATGCCGTGCTGAAATTGAAAGCATCCTTTCAATTGTCATCATGCCATGACACTATAGGTTCCCCTTTGATGCCTTTGGGAGAACAAAATGATGCTTGAAAGCTTTCTAAATCCATATGTTCAAGTGAGTGGTGGTTTCTCCAAAAAATTGAGTCTATGGGCAATCCAGAGTTCAATTATTTATCCAAAATGCCAAACAATCCACTGGATGTTGTGCATCTGAATCATCAAGATACACTACACAGAGCTCAAAAGTCTGGAGTCGGTCAGCACCCATCATAAATTATTTGAAGAACTTGGGATTTGGTAACCTGTTGAAGAAAAGTCAACATCTGATGACAAACATATCATGTGTAGATGAAGTATAAGGATTGATTTGAAAGGCTATATCTGGAAATCGAAGGTGAAATCATGTTTCCATAGGTCTGGATAAGGGCAGAGTCCACTGTGCTTAGTGCTCTCTTGTGCTCTTTTCTTTTTTGGTAATGCATGTGAGTTTTATTTAAGGGAATAGATTACTAAAAACTTGCCATAGACTTGTCCTGCATCAAGTAGGCATCTGCATCATCAAGGGACACGAGAAGCCAAAATAAACTTAAAAGTTACACCATAAGGCTAGCATCTTTCAATAATCCCTTGAATTCAGTCTAAGTAAAACCCTTAGGATTTATGTTGCTGAAATAAAGCATGCCGGTGAAAAAAATAAATAAAACAAGTAGACAATTTAAATGGAGTTACCTTGATATTGTCTTGACAATGGGAAGATATGTCTTTCTCCAAGTTTTCAGAAACCTTGAAGTACAGTACAAGACTCATTCCTTCCCCATTACTATCACCAGGGAAAATTGCAGCAGGATAAGTTGGCATCTACAACGCAACAAGACGGTTCAATATAACATGAGAAACTGTTGGCTTTACAAGTCAACAACATTGTACTTAATATTTTTGCAGGACACTCAACAATTAACCTACGAAATAGACAGCACCTGCATGCACATACAGAGGATACATTTAAGAAGTATATGATTTATCTGAAACATGTACCTGAATATTTACAATTAACAGAGGAGGGAGTCTCCCATCTGATTTTAAATTTGGAAGATCAAGGTGCTGTGCTATGTGATTTATCTTTCTTGGGCAGATAAATAAATCAACACCAATTGGAGTATATGGACAGTGAATTGGAGCAGGGCACTTCTTCTTATCTCTGCATTATAAATCATTCCAAAATTATATCTTTATCAATCCCAGAATGAAGTATAGCATAATTACTTGTCATAGTTGCCTGAGCATCCAATTAGGAATGATTAAAGTCAGTCAATGGCATACTTGAAATAAGTCATGCCACGAAGCTTGAAATTTGAGGGTGGAATCTCAGACCAACATCCTCCAGTTGGCTTCTCTCCCATAGCACGTGGAATAACAAATCCAGCTTTAGGACGGTACAAGAATCTTTTTGATGGGCCTGCATACATATATATATCAACAAGATTAACGTTCTGTGTCTACAACCATATGCTTACAAGCACATGAACTTGAATATCTTACCAAATTACCCATTTGTATGTAACATGGATTACGTGAAAAAAGCCAAAATTGAGGTTCAATATTGTACTCAAAGAATGTATACACTGAGAAAACTCATGCAACCTTAACAATCAATAAGTTATATAAGGAACAAAAGGTTAGGCAACAAGAGATGTAGTGCTTGAAAATCATGGAGATATAAGCAAATAAAAGACAAGTTGAATTTCAGTTGTGTGACAGAAACTTGAATACTTACAGTGTTCACTAGCTTCTTCTCCATCACATGATTTTCTCTTAAAAGAAAGCCTAAAAACTGCCAGCTTCCCTTTTGAAGTGGAAGCAGTTAAAATCTTGTCATTGAAACTTACAGAAGGAACCAACCGATGTCGACCAGACTTCAAGTTATTCTCTTGAGAGTCACGTCTATCCTCTTTTAGACCTTTGAAGCTTCCATAGGAATTATCTAACAATTTCTTCTTCCGAATTTCATCGGCTTTACTCAAACGTGAAAGCTCATAACCCTGAGAACTAATAACTGCAAATCCTTTTGATTCCTTATATTCGTCTTTTCCTGTTTTCACATAACTTTCATGGTATTCTTCATATTTACAACTGCCATCCACAAAACATGAAGAGCTTTCATACTGAAGCACTTGTCCACTTGAGATGTTCCCAACTGTAGTACCCACTGATGAAAAGCGGTCTGAAGGAAAAAAAATATAGTGTGCACTAGTGAATAAACATTTCACATATAACATCAGCAACTGGAGTTACATTCCCACATACTCTACATATTAAACTGTGACTGATGAAGCAGAGACATGCAGCAGACTTGCCAATATAACATATCCAGCATTACATTGTAGCTAGGGCATTTTGACGTATTAGCACTGTGTCCTTAAGAATTCATTACAAGTTATCTCTTAGCTCAGTTTTAGATGTTGAGGTTAAATGAAATACTGTGGTGGGTGCTTCTGATTGAGTTGAGATCATGCCATTGCCTTGCATTAATAAAAAGACCCTCATTCATCTTCACTAAAGGAGGATCGCATTTCATGGAAGTGGTTAAAGAGATATCAGAATTCACTACCTCCAAGTACACTGCAGAATTCATCATCAGAGTCAGACTCCAGAATACTGACTGAATCAAACCAAGCTTCCTCTTGGCAAATTACTGCAAACAAAAACTTTTAAAGTCAATTGTCATGTACGTAAGCAGTAAGAAGCGTATGGATAGGTGTGTTTCGACCATGTTCGGGCTACAAAGGCTACAATAAATGTTGCGAGGATCTTAAACAATGGTCTGAAAGATAGTTCCATCAGGTTAAACATTCAGAAAAGAATATATGATAGACTTTGTAAGTTATAATCTATTATAGTCATTGGACCCCTTGCAAACAAATGAAAACATAAGAACTAGTCAATTCCTCAAGAAATATATGTGAAATGTTTATTCACTAGTGCACACTATATTTTTTTTCATCAAAATAAATAGAAACAAATATTTTAGTTTTGCATTAATAGATGCTGAAGTGTTGCCATCTAAAGGCCCAACCCCCACCCCGCCCCCCCCCACCCCCTCTTTTTGAGATGGATATTAATCCAGTCAGGTAAATCCACATGCACTGTATAACAATGGCCATCCAGATCTGACCCCAGCACCCAGACCATGCACATCAAAACCTAAAGGAATGATGGCCATTCAAGAGATAATTTTCACATTTGCTATTGGAGCAGAAAAATATGCATTCCTAATATTTCATTTGGTACCAGGTACCCAAAATTTTAAGACACATGTATATCAGCATGTTGATCAATTTGGACCAGGATGAAAGGGAATCAGCCATACATTTGAAGATTGGTTGAAAAAAAAAAAAAAAAAAAAACAGAACAACTAAAGAACAATAATTGGAAATATCAATTCTTGAGATCTTCTGTTAATTTGGGCGTGCACATCTTCAGCTGTTTCCATTTTAAGCATAAGAATCAAGAAGGAAAAATAGGAATTAATTGGAAAATCACACTGCATTTTATGAGAAATTTGCCAAGACTTATCTTTCTTTATTTAAACAAAAAATATATATTTATCTACCAAATTGGTCGAGGCAGAAGGTATCTGATTCATAAGGTAAGGTAAGATGGGGAAGCATAGTGTGTGCCATTGCCTGTAGAGTCTACACGCAATTAAAAATTGTGGACTTCATAATTTGTGCAAGACTGGCATATTAGTTTGATGAGAACATGACAAACGTTTCCAATTTGGGAGTAAAACAAGATCTGGCCAACAGAATCAAGTAAGCCAAAATATTGGTTGCTTAGCACATTTTTTTTATACAAACTGGGATCGAAAAACATACCATCAGAGTCCACTTGACTGAGATGCCATTGCAACTGGGTGAGATGGAATGTTGAATTGGAGACTCCAGATTTTCTGCAACCAGTAGCTGCTCCATTGTCAAAATCCATATGAACAAATTGACTAACAGCAAAATCCGCCACACATCCGGCATCGCTAATCCTTTTCTTACTTCCATCCTGGACAGTATTGGATATCTTCACAAGATGTCTGCCCTTACGATGGCGCTTTTTATGTAATCTAACTGCTTTTGGTGGTGTTGATACACAGCTGCCCATTCTAGCTACCTAATTATACAATCCTGTTAAAAGCAAACACAACATTCACAAGAGATTCGAACCCACAAAAAGAAACTTGGAGCCTAATTTGATGTTCGGAAACAAATACTAGCCAATTAATGTAAAAGAAAGAATCCACCAAAAGACAAAATAAAAGACTTGTAAAATTAATGAAGTTCACTAGGATAAGACAAACGTTTTCTTACAATTTCTTAACTCGGTCTTTTAGCAACTCAATATTACAGAATGTGAACATACACAAGCTACAGTGCTAGCCCACTCAACAGTCTTTTAGAAACTCAATATTACAGAATGCGAACACACACAAAAAACCATATGGTCAATTCTGCGGAGAGATAAAGAAATCAGGCTGTAGCAAAAATTGCATTGATCAAAAGGGGAGATTATGTCATTAATTATTTGCTTATAATTAGTTCAACAAAACTTTATAGAAAATTAGTGGTGCAACCATTATGATCACAAATATCCTCCAATCAATAATCTCAAACCAACCTCCCAAATTGGTAAAATAGCCTAATGTCCGAACATCTACCCTCAAATCAAGCAACTAATTAACAACTGCAAGAAAAATTCAATTAGAAAAAAGAAAAAAAGAAAAATAATATGACCCGTGTCCTGAAAATTTCCAAACCATTTACGAGAGGAAAAGATCATTTCACTTTCAAAGAAGCACTGTTTCAGTTTCAAATCAGAAACTGCCATGTGAAAAGCTGAAGTGAGGATAACAAAAATATGGCAAAGGGTCCTCGTCAAATAAGGTAAAAGAGACAAACAACTACAAAACCAAGAAAAAAATAATAAAAAAGGTTAACGTAGTAATGTGAAAAGGAAGTGCATAAACACAAAAATAAAAGAAACTGTACAAAAAAAAAAAAAAAAAGAAGGAAAATACACCACAAAGTGAATAATTAGAATATATTATCATTCAAATTCCAATAAATATGAACAGGCAGAAAATAGGGGGGGGGGGGGGGGGGGGGCGGCGGCCGCGGCGGGCGGGGGGAGGAACAAATACTGAACCTCTAATCCATATTGAAATTTGAAAATTCCCATTTATAAAAATCAACCTTAAAAAAACAACAGAAAATCATTGTAATATAGAATAAACAAAAAAGAAAATTCCTTTGCAGACTAATGAACATTTCGAACAAAACCCAGGTTAGAAAACTCCAAATAAATTACAATGCCAAGCATCATCATCAACATAAAAAAAGAATGTCATCATTCAACTAAAAACAGAGATAATAAAATAATAATAATAGTAGTACATTACCAACCTATATAAAGAAGATTAAGCCTCAGTTTTGCTGCAACGATTGATCTCCCCAGCCTATCTCAGCGAGAACAGGAAGACAAAGAAGGAGGGAGGGGTGTTTTCAAAAATGCCGAGTTGCGTGAGGCGGGTGGGTCCGACGATGTCGGATCCGGGTCGAATTGCAAACAAAACCACCACTTCTCTGTTACTTATTTTCTTTATATATAACAAAAAAATTATGATCTCTACAAACTTGAAAAAGAAAAGAAAAGGAAAAGGAAAAGGTTGGGTTGTTTAATAAATAAAAAAGTTATTTTTAGCGGGTTATTTTCATTTTTTTTTTCAAAATAATAAAAAAGAAAAAATTGGATTCAACATTAACGTAAATGCAACTGTGTTTTATATCAAGGTCTCCTCTCCTTGCGTTAAGCTTTCTTTCTTTTATGTCCTAAATTTCGCTGGCTACAGAAAGAGGGAGAAAGAGACTTGTGATTTTCTTTTCCTAGTATTTTGTCTGATCTGTTGTCAGCTCGACACGTCACGTTACTTTAGATCAGGTTCTTTTCAATAGATTAGCATTTGTTTTCGTTTTTTTTTTTGTAACTACAAATCCGTGTTCAAATTTTATAATTATGTACATATCAGTCTCCAATCTTTAAAGTTTGTCTAATTTTTGTGTAACTTAGAAAAAAGAGTAGATAAAATATATTTTATTTTATTAATTGATGTATATATTATTTTTCTAACTGGAAAAGAGTATAGATATTAGCAAGATTTTAAATTATGGGACTCATTTGTTAGTTAATATATAATTTAGGGACTAATTTGTAATTAATTGTCCTTAATTAGTTAGTTACTTGGAAACAACCAAGAAAATCTGGAAAAATAAAAATTAGATATAAATATTAACTTCAATTAAGTATCTTTCTACAGAGAGCTGATTCTGTTTGGATTAGAGTTATTATTATTGGTTTTTTAAAATGTTAAGATTAATTTGAAGTGATTTGAGTTATTATTTCTATTTGGCTGATACATTTTCAAGACCAGTACCATTGAGTGCTTTAAAATATATATCCTTTCCTCTCTCAAACAATACCAATTTGGCATCTAATTATCAAATTCCAATATTGATGATGGCCCAAAAAAAAAAAAAAAAAAATTCCAACTAATCCATGCAATTCAGACTGTCATTACATATTTGATCCTATTCCATCACACAATAATCTTGTTGGAAGGGTTATTTTAGAATCAGGGGGGCCAATTGAACTATCTAAAAAAAATCAAACGCTAAAAGAGATATTGTATCTTTTGCACTTAATAATAATAACAACTGTAGCTTGTAAATAGAATAATAAAAAAAAGTGTTTTTGATTCATTATATTAGAAATTCAATTTTTATTTATATTTATTTTATTTATGTGGCAATAGACATGAGTTATTAGAAGATTTAAAGAATTCGATTTTTAAAATTCATTGAATATTATTTGGAGGAAATGAATTTTTTTTTAATTTTATTTTGGGAAAGACTAGGAAAAATAACCATTACATGTTGAAAATAGCTGATTTTTTTATTTTATTTATTTATTTATTTATTAGGTTCAGAATCTTGCTAGTGGTGATGCAAGCTCCATAGCACAAAAACCTAAAATTTCTTAGTGGTGATGTACATGGAACTAGCCATTGAATGCCTTTTGAAAAGCGCATGCGCCTTCACAGTATAAAGGGAAGCATTTTTGTCACATCCATACAATCTGATCAACGGACACCATCATTTGTATACGGAAAATGAAAATCATCCATATTTTTACTCATCTTAATCAAAATCATCATATATATTGACTGATTTTTTGTCAATTATAATGTGGGTAGTTTCCACATTAAGTGATAATTTTTGGCGATTTAGGTTGCAGTTATTTGTGAATTTTTCCCACTTTTCTAGAATTTTTTTTTTTGTTAAAAACAGGAAATTCAAGAAAATTTATTTGTTAATTAAAATAAAATTTATTTTCTTGAAAACGCATGTATTTTAACCTTTTCAAATTTTTTAAAGAATTTGAAAATATAAAAAAGATATTTTTATAACGATTCACTATAAAAATAAGGATTCTATTGGATTCACATAATTCATTTTATATTTATTTCTTCTATTAATTATATTGCAAACCAAACAAGACCGTTGTTTTCAGTTTTGAAAATTGTGTATTGATTAAACATGTGTTTCTTTATTTGTATTTGTCGCTTAAACTAGTGTTTCTCAAATCATGCATGGATATTATTCTTTAAAAATATTTAGGTATTTTATTTTATTTTTTTATTGAAAACAGAAAATTCAAGAATATATATTAGTTAATTAAAGTATAAATTATTTTCTTGAAAACGCACGTATTTTAAGCTTTTCAATTTTTTTTTGAAGAATTTGAAAACATAAAAAAAGATATTTTTATAATTATTCACTATAAAAATAAGGATTTTATTGGATTCACATAATTTGTTTTATATTTATTTCTTCTATTAATTTTATTGCAAACCAAGCAAGACCATTGTTTTCAGTTTTGAAAATTGTGTATTGAGTAAACATGTTTTCTTTATTTGTTTTTGTCTCTTAAACTAGAGTTTCTCAAATCATGCATGGATATTATTCTTTAAAAATATTTAGGGGATTTTATTTATTTTTTTATTTATGTAACAAGAATACAAGAACATGATGATTGGTTGAAATGGACAAAATAGAATTCCAAAGAGTCACTCACAGTTTGGAATGGAATAACGTGATGCATGAGGTCAATACTTGGTGATGTCTCATCCCAAGAGAATGACTGATGTTATTCTGTGGTCACTCATCCTGCGGAAAGTACAATATTTTTCTTTCCTATCGTTTTGTCACTTTTCTAAAATACATTTTTTTCTTTTAACATATGATCACCTTTTTTATTTTTATTTTTGTTCCCAATTGGTTGGTCCACCAATTCTACAGCTAACAAACAGGTTGGCATAATACCCAATACAATAATTTTAGTAGGAAAGGAGAGGTTGCCTGTATATTTCCATCAAAGCAATCGCTAGTACTTCTTTAGAGCTTCGTGTTCATCACCTTTAAGCCCCGTTTGGCATTATGCATGGGGCCCACGTTTGAGTATGATTATGTGGAGCGAAAGTTTTTAGATGTAAGAATAATTTTTATATTTACTATATATAAAAAAAAGTAGAAAAGGACAATAATTTAGGAGCGAAAGTTTCTTCCAAAAAAAAAAAAAAGTCAAAATTATAATTGAAATTTTTTTAAAAAAACTTGACAACTGTTTTGAAAAAATCGATATATTTAAAAAAAAAATTATATGTATTGACAAATTCTTAATTTCAACTTTGGTTGAAACATTGAAACTGCATAGTAAGGTCAGATTCATATTAATAATCATAGATGAGAAGATAGAATAATGATTCTTAATGTATTATTATGGTATATATTATCGTCCACTCTTTTCAGATCGTTGTTGAGATATGGTTAGGCAGCCCTAAATTCTCTTTAAGGATGATCTGCTTTTAAGGATTTGTTTATGGGGGGGATGAATGTATGAGCAGTAACATTTGACATGCAGAGGAACTTTTTTAGTTGGATTAATGTAGAAGTGGGATTTGTTACAACAAAAGTTCATCCTTCCACTTTGTTTTAGTGGGTCACTAAGAAGCTTCTTTTTGGATTAATCTTCATCGATTTTATATTGACTTGTATTGTTTTTTTTTTTAAAAAATAAATTTTGAAATTATTTTTCAATATTTTTTTTTAATGGAAGGCATGTTACAAAACTAAATTAAATAACAATTAATTATAAACTCTACATATTATAAACACAGTAATAAATCTTATGAGGTGATACAAAATCTTGTTTAAAAGCTTCATTAGAGAAAAATAAATGTATATAAAAAATTGAATTTTTTGAATCATAATTGAAATGGAGGTAGTAGACCTAATCGGCACAGGCCTAGCCTATCCATTCTCATAGTTGCCATTGCTTTTTAACCAAACCAAGAAGTTGGTTCAATAAAGCAAATTCCATGTTTTTTCTTCTTCCTTTTTATTCGGTTCTAGAAACGGAAAGTAGACACATTGCACCTTCAAAACTTGCTCAATTAGAAAGCTGTTTATAATCTATTTAAGTAATTTAAAAAATTAAATTATAATATTTAATATAAAAAATTTATTTGATAATTTAAATAATATTATATTAAAATTTTTTAAAAAAACCCAATTAGCAGAGCCGCCATGAAAACCCTGTTAGCAGAGCCACCGTGAATGGCAACAGAAAACTCCCTTTTCGGCCCAGACAAGAAGCCCATGTGATTTGTTCTATAACAAGGCTGATTCTAGTAAGTGTCAGAGTAATGGCAATTTATAAAAGCACGAGGGTAGTGAAGTCTGCAAATTGAGATTTTTATTTGGTGAACGAGAACAACATATCTAAGGTAAGGTTTACAATAAATATTAAAGTATCAACCAACGTGTCATGTGAAGATGAAAAGACCTAGGACTAGTTAGAGAAGAAGTTGCCATGCTATCATTGTACTAAATGCAACTAGAAAGCCTTCGCTGGCATGAACATATTTGGTGATAGAAAAACCGGCCTTATCAATCCTGAAGGACGGAAGAACTTATAATAATATCAAGGAAACGAACTTGTTTATATATATATATGTATTAAAAAATATAACGTTATAATTATAAGGTTAAAATTATCATATATTTAGCTTTAATATATTCATAAATCATATTTATCAAATAACCTTATTATATTCAATATTCAATTTTTGATAAATATTAAACAGTTTATAAGTAATATATTCAGTACATAATAACAGTTTATCCTATCCTAATATGATATCGCATTTCCCTCAAATTAAGCATGAAACAAAATCTGATAACTTTTTTTTTTCCAAAATAAAAGAAAACCCAAAACAAATATCTCAAAGAGCTTGCAGAGACATCATAGTATATGACTTTCTTGCAGAGACATCATAGTATATGACTATCTGGGATTGTTTGTAATTACATTCTCTTTAATATGATACTCCCATATTTTCACATATTTTTGAAGTGGCTGCTTGTCGCCTATGAAATTGAACTTGGATACGAAAAAGGAAAAACAAAAAGATTCAAGTAAAATCTCAGCCTATATATATGTACAATTGGTGTGTAACTTTGTTGGTCCATGAAAACTCACCTCTTGTCCTTGTGAACCATCAGAAATTCGAGTTTCATCTTTGACAAGCTTAATTTGGATGCATATTTCTGCTTGCTCTCTCCCAAAATTTGAATCACAACTCTTGATAAAAAAGTAACTGGTAATTGTTTCAAGGACCATTAGAAGGGAAAACAAATAAGTAATGAACAATCCTTCCAAGACCATAGATATCCTAAGCCTTCCAAAGACATGATCATGATAAGATCTTACAATCCGGTAACGGAACAAGGCTTCAATAGCAACAAGACCTAAATTTAGCGGAAGAGCCAACAAGAAAGCCATCGAATTTTTACCCTTTCTTAGTACACAAGCCTTCTTAATAGCCTTGTATGCAGTGCAATTATCAATAACTGCCACAACTAAAGCTAAGTTGCATATGACCATGGTATTGGTCAAAACCAAGTAGACAAAAATCCCAGCTGCCAGATTCATGAGAGGATTGGTGGATGGTAGAACCAATAGACTCATGAAGAAACTTGAGGCTTCGAAAAGGATCAGCAAGGTTGTTGCGCTAATGGTTATAATAAGGACTATATTGGAAAGGTAGAATAAGACTAGAGGCTTCGAACAAAGTGACAGAGAAGACGAACAAAATAGTGAAAAAATGGGTCTATGGTGATTTAGAGATTGAATGATAGATGCTTTTGCGATGACAAGGGAGGATAGTGCAAAAGGGAAACTAAAAACAAGGATAAATATCATCTGAGGAAGATTTAAATCAAGAAAAGAAATTCTTGTACCTTGGAAAAATATTGATTTGGTCAGTGAACAAGATGGATAGAAGGATTGCGAGAGAAGAATTGAAGCTGAGAATGGAAGCAAGAGGATTGCTGGGGTGCTGGTGAAGAAGTTAAAATCTTTCAACAAGGTGTGGATTGACACTCTAATGATTTTTCCTGTCCTCTCCATAGTAAAGAATTAGGGGGCTTTGTTTTGATGAGAATGATTATTTATCACTTACCAAATGAATTATAGGATTCTACAAACAATAAATAATATTTTCACCTGATATTTTAAGATTAATTTGTTTAAAGATTAGGTTCATGTTTTCCATCCCTTTCCAACTACTAGAAACCAACATATAACTGCCAAGAAAATGGCCTTCATTTGGAAAAATTATGACCATAGGAATATTTTTTATTTATTTTTTCTTGACTTAACTAGCTATTAAATTAGGCAGAATGGAAAAGGTTATGTGCTCATTTGGGCGAGATTAGAGCCTCAAATGGCTTTATCGTGTAATGCGGATGGATATGGACCTGCATTCTTATCAAATCCCACCAAAGTTGACCAAAGCGAGCAACAATTTGGTGGTAATATATTACTTGCACGAAATTTGGGATTAAAGTATTGTTAAAATTATTCTCAAAAAAAAAAAAAAAAAAAAAACTGTCGATATTATCATATTTTCTTTAAGGACATTCATTAGTGGGAAGTTTTCAAAAAGATTTAAATTGTTTCGTTTTAAAATAACTACAAATAAAGTTTTCTAGATTAACAATTTTAATGTGATTAAAAAAAAAACTGTCCATAGTTTTTTTTTTTTTTTAATAAAAAATGATAAAAATTTTTTTACATTAACTCAATATATATATATATATATATATATATATATATATATATATATATATATATATATATATTCTCTTTAAAGTAGGTTTATGAAGTATCTATTTTTTAAGGCTTGGAAAACCTAAATTAGAAAGATAGTACCATAACATTGCAACAATATGAAGATGGAATAAAAAAAAAAGGAAAACATAGGAGAAAATAGAACCAAGAATTGGCAGAAGGAACGAAGAAGTGGCCAACGCACTCCAATATCAAGCAAGATGTGTCCCCAGCTGCACTCCACGTACCTAGAATCGAAAAGGACCCACCATTCTTTTGTGTTTTTTTTGGGTATGATTGGTCACCATATTGAATCTACCAATTTTAATTAAGACCGCCAATATTTGGTATGAAAATGAAAATAGAATCCCAGTTGCTGTTCTCTCAGCAAGAGACATTGCGAGCACCGATCGAGTTCTTCAACAGCAACATTGGCAACACCATCCAATAAGATCAGCTGAATGTCAAGACACTGAAAAATTAAATAGCAAAGGTTGGACCATACTAAAATTTCATCTCTCAAAAAAAAAAAAAAACATTTATACAAGAGATTGATCATTAACCAAAAAAAAAAAAAAAAGCTAACATAATTCTGTTAAAATAATGATTGCAATGAGTTGTGAGAAATAATAATAATAAAAAAAATAACAACAATATCTTAATGGTACATAATTCTTATAGTGGCATCATATTATATTTATATGTAAAATTTAATAAGATACAAAAAACAATTGTATACAATATAAAAAATATCACATTGCATACGAGACATGAAATATAGACAACAATAAAAGAAATTACAAGATATTAGAAAAACTAACTTGTATGACTTAATATACTCTCTCAAGTCGCTGAAGGTAAAGAAGCCATACAATATTGTTGAACTTTTAATACATGACTCGCAAATGCTAGGAGGCGCTTCTTTTTGAAATAAAAAACATTTCTCTCATATTTCGACAAATTCTTCCAAGACATTTTTGCCTAAGATAATGCATTGATCCCTAAGATGAAAAATAAATAATTTAACGTTTTAAACAATGATGAGTGGTACACATTTGAATCACGATCTAACCTTATCCATTACTTTTTCTCTATAAGTCAATAATAGTTTTTAAATGGAACTATAACTTATCAACTCGAACAAGATCGAGTTTGAAAAGAACAAATGTCATTTTTGGTATACTTTTTCATAAATAAAAACTTATCCCATACAGATCCAACTTTGAGCCTAAAAATTTCTTTCGATAATACTAGTATCACCCCTTACACTTGGGGCAATTTTAAGGTTCATGAATTATCAAGGATGTTCTTTAAAAAAATAAAAACAAAAATGATGATCACTATTCACAAAAAAAAAAAAAAAGTTATTGAGAAAATCCTTGAAACGACTTTGAAAGAGAAATGGGAATTAAAAAAAAATAAAAAACAAAAGTGAAAGCACTAAGACAAAAAGAAAGTGCTATATAGAGTGATCTCTTTCATGATTAGAAGTTAAAAAGGGTTAGAAATCCAAAAAAAAAGATGACAAGAGTGAACATAAAAAGAGAGTTCGGACTAGAAAATGAGATCAATTTGCGAAATAATAAAATCATGACGACATGGCTAGTGTGATTCTTTGTTAGTGTCAAATGATGTGAAAAGTGAAACCAATTCTGAAAGTGACAAAGTCAAGGTGACATTTCTAAAGTGATCTTGATGAATAATTCAATGATATTGAGTCTTTACATCCTTAGACATTTTTTAAGCTTTTTATATCCTTTTGTTTACAATACTAAGCCCTATCTTGCATTGCATGCCTATGAAAGCCTTTTTTGATAAAAAAAAATGACTTATTTGTGTTGATGAGCTCTAGCTTCAAATGAAAAGAAGAAAATATTTTTAAATAAAAACTTAACTTATATGTGCATTACGAATCATCATTTACGATATTCAATTATGAGTTTTACATCAAATACCTAGAGGTAAAAAAGAGATGAATCTAATCTTTCTAAGCAAGACCTCCTATTTGAGTCAAACTTATTTCAAAACTCTTTAAGTTCATAAAATTCATCTAAGCACGTCGTGCTTTAGGAGCCGACTTTCGACAAATATGTATTTTATCTTTTGGCCAAGTGAATCAATCATCTTCTTGAATGAGATTACAATCTTGTGAACATTTTTTATGATTTTTTTAGATAATTCAACTTACCTTGATGGAAAATTTTCCAACGTACAACCTAACCCTTGAAAGTGACAACAAATAAAAATGATTTTTTGAGAATTAAAAAAAAAATCAAAAACAAGTTCACATAATCAAGCTCAAATGTCAAAAGAAGAGTGACAACATAAGTAATGATAATGAAATGTGCATGACAAATGATAGATCGTTACTAACATTTAGTGGCATGCTATGATCGGACTAGTCATAAAACTATGTTGACACTAGAAAACCAAGCACTCCAACCCTTCTCTTATCAAGAGCAACATAGTAGATAATTCGAATTATGGTCAAATATTCACTAGCACGATAATTTGACTTTGTTTCTCCTATTCTTGATTCGTCCAACATAATACGATCTTTCATCTCTAAAAAAACCTTTGTTTTCATAAGTATGATCAATCCTTAAAAAGAAACCTCTTCTTTGGTCTCATGCACAATCCTATAATTGATATTATTCATGAAATGTAATATTGCATCAAACTAGTGTATGATAACATGATAAGGATCTTACTTGAACGTGGGTAACAAGAGGTCTTCCTTTAAGAAATATATTATTCATTTTCTCACGATGAATTATAGACCATTAAGACGAAAGGCTATCTCAACCATTTTGGGGTTATATTTTTTATATGTGCTCGGTAAAAGTCTAAACACCCGAGGCAAGTACCAAGGAGGCATAAAAGAATAGTGATCTTTCATTCAATTGGAAGAATAAACACCACACAAATGACATAAACAATGGCCCAAGCAATCCTCCTAATGAATATATGAATAAAAAGCATAATCGAAATGCGATAAATAAGTAGAAAGCTCAATGAAAATAGCTAGCCTAAGACTTTAAACGTATTCAAGCTAGACTATATACAATTGAGGAGAAAAAAGGGAAAAATTCTTTTCTTGCTAGTAACAAACGATACTTCTCCAAAGACTATAAAATGGTTACTAGTGTTTTGCTTCTTTCCTTTTCGATTTTGCATGGTCCTTTATATCACATGTTTTTTTTTATTTTCTTCAACTTATTTAATTATAGTCAATTGTCATTCGAATTTGATGATTGTCTCCTTTACTTGATTGTCACTTATGTTTTATGTGTTTCATTTTCTTTTTTATTTTTCTTTATAAAGCTTTCTATATAAAGCTAATGAAAAAGTACTTTACAATGATTTTTTTTATGAAAATCATTGTAAAGAAGGGGCAACTCGTTAGTGAAGCATTATGCATCCTATGGAGGTGCGAAAAAAAATAAATTTTTTTCTCCATCTAAGGCTCCTAAGATCATGTCATTGAATCAACTAATCATACATTAATATGAATATAAATATAGGTGAAAAATTACCTCTTATAGTGCAAAATTAACCTTTGTGAAAATGAGTCATCCATGCAGACTCAAATGACCATGCTAGAAGCAATAAAAAACTGTTATGTAATAGCTCCACCTTTTTCTCATTAGTTTATTTTCTTTAGAAATAAATTCAGGTTTTTATGTGACAACCCTAGAGAAAAGGAGAGAGGTGATGGGTTTGAGGGAGAGAAAACTCTTTTCTTTTCTTTTTTTCTTATTTTATCGTATGTTTGCTCTTGGTTTTTTTCTTGGCGTCGCCTCTCTCTCCTTTATTCATATATGGGGTAGCAACTTCTCCTTATAGGTCAAGGAAAT